AACCGAACGCCTGTACCTGCAAAACAAACGGATGCTCCGGATGATTGGAGATCCGCCTCCGACGGTCAAGTTAGTACTTGATTAAGGAGTAATTAATGCGGAAATTAAAGTGATTGGGTCTCTCTAGGTGAGAGAGTTTAATGTGTGTAATCTGCGTAATCTCCCTTAATGAGGATTAAGGGAGGTATTTATAACCTCGGGAAACGTGCAAATCTAGGTTTAGGTTAACATTAGGCTGATTGGGCTTCCCTCGGAAGTTGGGCCTTGGTGACCGGTTATCCCAGATGTCATGGGAAGGACACGTGTCGTGTCGTAATTGGTCCATAGTGGACGGATCATTGCTTGACACGTGGCAGGCTCCTATTGGCCCATGTGACGGACACATGGCGGAACCTGATTGGTCCACTTGTCGGATGGTGATTGGTGGGGAAAAATCCCCTAATCACTTGGTGTCAATGCTTTCCAGCCACGCTGAAGGGTACAACCCAAAGATGGTTCGACAATTTTCCAGCTGGATACATCACTGACTTCCTGACGTTAGCCTTTCTATTTGTTTCCAACTTTTCTATGAACATACCGGCCAAGAAAACCAATATAGACTTGGGGATAGTAGTTTAGGGAGACAATGAAGGGCTAAGGTCCTATGTCCGGTGCTTCAACCTAGAAAGAATTCAAATTCCAGGACTGTCTGATGAAGTCGCCTTTATAGACTTCTTCAAGGGTCTGAAGAACGGGTTGACCTTTTAGTTCGACTTGATCCGTAAGCAACTCTTCACTCTGCCGGAAGCTTTGCGAGAGGCAGAGGCTTACATCCAGGCTGTTAAGTTGTGTTCTGCCAATAAACACCCGAAGAAGTCTAAACAGAAGAGAGAGGGACGGCAAGATCAGCCGTCCCAAAAGAAGAAAGAGGATCGGCAAGAGCAGCTGTCCCAGAAGAGAAAACAAGTTTGGACGGCTGAAGATGTCGAGAAGTCGTCCTAAAGAAAGAGGAAGAAGGCCGAACCATACTAGTCGCCCTATGAATTCAATAAAGATTGTTACTCAATATTGATGGAGATCAAGGATCGAGTAAAGTTCGACAAGCCATCTCCTATAAGACGGCCAGCCAAGTTCCGTGACAAGAACAAGTATTGTCACTTCCACAAGGACATTGGTCATGATACCAATCACTGCTACAACTTACAAAATATGTTGGACAAGCTGGTGGCATAAGGCCTATTGAATTCATACGTGCAAAAGTCCAAGGTAACACTGCGGACTGAAAAGAAGACGGAAACAGGTCCTATCCAAAAGACAGTTACAATACCGACTCCAGATGCGTAGTTGTGATTGCTGGCAGCTTCGCATCCGGTGGTCCAACCATCAAGGGAGGCAAAAGACCATGCCCGTAGTCTGAAGCAGGTTATGTTGGTCGACACTTCCGATGAGGAGTCGTTCCCTGAAGTGGTTATTGTTGAGTCCGACAGGGGTAATGTCTAGACGCCACATGACGACCCTATGGTCGTTGAACTCAAGGTCGCTAACATGAAAGTTTGGTGGATCCTTGTAGACATAGGGAGCTCCTCCGATATAATCAGTTGGTCTTGTTTGAAAATTTTAAAGTTCAATCAAGATCATCTACAAGAGGTCTTACACCCACTGGTCAGCTTTGGGGGTGGAGTTATACATCCGGTTGGCAAGATTGATCTACCTATCTGGCTGGGTGACAAACAACGATGTCGGAACATGGTTGTCCGATTCCTTGTTGTTACAGACATGACGGCCTATAATGTCATTATTGGTGTCCAACTCTTAACGGTGCTAAGGCAGTTATCGTTTCCTCTCTCATGCTGATGAAGTTTGACTACGGGGACAAAATTGGTTCTTTTTATGGAGACCAAAATATGGCAAGGGATTGTTATCTAGCTACTGTAAAAAGATACATCCCCGGACCTCGAAGAAAAGGAGCCGTTAGTAGAAAAAGCTGACGTTCCCCTGGCCGGCCAAAAAAGAAAGGTGGTCCAGGATATGGGGTCGTCCAAGAAGGCAAAATAGCAATTACCTGTTGCTAAACGGATTAACGAGCTTTGTCCCTAACCGGCTGGTGAGCATGAAGATATAATCCTTGATCATGCTCGCCCTGAGCAAACTATTAAAGTGGGGATGGCGACAGTTGCTCAATTTGGCACTGCACTACATGATCTTCTCTGGGAATTCAAACACGTCTTTGCCTTTAAGGTCGAAGAGATTCCAGGCATTGATCCAACTTTATCTATACATAAGTTGGCTGTAGATCCCAACAAGAGACCTGTCCGACAAAAGAAAAGAAACCATGCAGAAGAGAGAAACCAGACGGCAGCTGCCGAAGTAAAAAAACTGTTAGACACCAGCTTCATTCAGTAATGCTTTTACCCTAATTGATTGGCCAACGTAGTGCTGGTTAAAAAGCCGAATGGAACTTGGCGTATGTGTGTGGATTACCCGGATCTCAACAAAGCATGTCCCAAGGACAGCTTTCCATTGCCCAAGATCGTCTGTCTGGTCGACTCCACATCCGCGCATGCTTTAATGAGTTTCATGCACGACTACTTAGGCTTCCATCAAATCCCACTATGGAAATCACTGAACAAGGGTTATACTACTATATTGTGATATCGTTCGGTCTAAAGAATGCCCCGGCTACTTTCCAATGGTAAGTCAATACTGTCTTTGAAAAGCAGCTGGTCCGTAATATTAAAACATACATTGACGACATGATCGTCAAATCAAAACTTCAGCCGGATCATCATACTGACCTCTGAGAAACCTTCACCACACTCACGCGGCACAAGGTTATGCTGAACCCTAAGAAATGTGCGTTCGGTGTTGAGTCTAGGAAGTCTCTCGGATTCTCGATTGACTAGAGGGGTATTGAAGCTAATCCTAAAAAAAAATCAGGTAGTACTAAATATGAAATCCCCTCAAAAGTGTCAAAGAAGTACAAAAGTTGACCGACTGCTTAGCTACTCTTGGTCGTTTCCTTAGCAGGTTTGGTGATAAATGCCTTTATTTTTTCCAAACCATAAGGAAAAAGGCACGTTTTAAGTGGAGTGATGAGGCTGAGGCGGCATTTTGCTGGCTCAAGGAGCATCTGCATGTTCTCCCAATGCTCGTTAGCCCTCTTCCTGACGAGGTGTTGTATATGTACTTGGCTACCTCAAATCATTCCCTTAGTGTTGTTCTGATCTCTTGGCTGAGAAGGATGGTCACTAGATGTCAGTCTACTTTGTCAGCCATATCCATTACAATGCAGAACTCAGTATCACACAGTTGAGAAGTTCGGCCTTGCCCTTTACGTGGCCTCCAAAAAGTTGAGACCTTACTCTTGGCTCATCCCTTGGTGATGTACACGAACCAACCATTGAAGACGCCCTTGACAACTTTAGAGTCGTCAGGCCGAATGCTCAAGTGGAATGGAAGTCCGAGGGTGAAATCAGAATTTGTAAGATTGGAACGGACGACAATGTAGCCGATCCACTCACTAAACCTTTGCCTCAAGTGAAACACAACAAGCACGTTGAGGCAATGGGAATCAAGCACGTTGGAGATTGGCTTTGATTTCCCTGTTCTTGTGTTTTAATTAATTTTGAGGATTTTAGTGTTAAACACTATGTTGAACCATTCGGTTTTGGAGTAATTTAATTTTCTGCAAATTATTATCACTTCTTTTCTGTTTAATTTTGGTTTACAATTAAATAATGAGTCCATTCGATTTTTAAGAATATTTAAAATAGGGTATCAAGACAATGTCTTGGATAAAGAAACACTTATTAAGTGAACATTGAATATTTCAATCGAAAATTATCCCCGATCAAGGTCATTTAAATGTTGGACGACTAATGACCACTTGAGATTAGTGTGTAGTATGATTTATAGCACCGTTTCTTATGCTACAAGGACATGATTGTCATAAATCATTTTCACAAGTATTTGTTTGGAATTATACCGGATCAACCTATGAGAATACTTTAAGAGATTTAAAATTGTCATGAGTATATTTCTCATTATAGCTATCGAAACCTCTTTCCTCGACCATGAGTATTGTAAGTTCTCTTGTTTGAGTACTAGTCCATTTTGATGTTGTTAAACGTCTGCCGTTCATGGGGATTATAACGGTAACACTCGGGCGGCTAGGTCCTCTTAGTAAGGGAAGCTAACAATTTAAGACTAGGAATGTCTCCCTAGGGAACATGTCTTTGTTGTTTACAAGGTCTCTTGAAGAGCAAGACTGTGAAAATGCATGGCCGTGCTCAGATGGATTTTAGAGATCATCTGCTTATTGACAGTCGAACTCGAAAATCGAGAAACACTTCTGGACGTAATAAGGATGCCGAAGAATCTTACCTTATATTTCATGAAGAGACATTAAGTGACATAGGAAATAGGCTATACACTAACAGGGCACTTGTCCGAAAGGACAAGTGGAAGATTGAAAGGAATGGTGTCCTTCAAACAAGTGTATTATTCCGATAGAGGGTTCGAAATTATTAGAAACCTAATTAATCAGTGAGGTCACACTAGTAGAAAAATATAAAAGGGCACCGATTCAAAACCCCCATATAGCACCGGTTTTGAACCGGTGTAGATTTGAGGGATGCCAAAAAAAAAAAATCTTTAGCACCGGTTCAGAACTCGTGCTAATAACGTGTTATTTGCACCGGTTCTATTCCAAAATCGGTGCGAATAATGGCCCATAAAAATAAAATAAAAAACTTTTGGCACCAGTTCAAAACCAAAACTGGTGCCCTTAATGCCCCAAAAAAATAAAAAAATAATTTTTTTTTTTTTTTTTTTGCATTTTTTTCACTTAAATTGATATAGAAACACTAACATATATATAACACCAGTTATCTCCTGATATACTTAACATTCCATGTGAAATTTCAATAAAAATTAATCTTTAAAAGGGAAGTGTAGAGAAGATTAAACAGTGGACTCTACAACAACACATATGACTACAATGAACAGCATGCTATCATCTCTTCAGTAATGTTGTTGTTTCAGCACATATCATTCCTTTTTTTCCTTAAAGAAAAGTGTTACACCTACTCAAAAAGTGCTTTAGAAGTTAGAACTAGCACATTCTGTTCAAAGTATGGGTCTTGGAAATACAAGAAGAGAACAACAAATTTAAACTGAAGTGCAATTTACAAAAGGCATTTTCCTATAAATAAGTACAAAAGTACATACATAACGTAAAGAAAACAACCACTTAATGAAAAATGTATGAATTATGCAGCTATGTAACGAAAACGAAGGAGAAGTTTGCAATAACGTAGCCCAGTTTAAGTGCCTAGAAGGTAAAAGACCAGCCACTTTCTCTCATTCCTGATTCTCAATAATCATCAACAAAAATTAATTAATCCTAACAGCTTCAAACATATAAGTTTCATAAGCAAGACCACATAAAGGATGTTAAAAATAAGATATCATGGTCCGAATGAATTAATTACAGAGTAAACTTGTTTCACTATCCGAATATTTCAAATTAATATTCAATTTGTAGAAATTTCAGAGTACAACTTTCAAGTGATTGTGGTCATTACCAAAGTCGCAAGGCTTTCAAATTCCTTTTTCCACTAGACCATTTGAAGCTCTTCCAAGCACAACCATCTGTCCACCCTATAAATAAGATATGAATTTCAATCAACATTCAAATTTAATATCGTAAAGGCATCTTATGAGTTAATGAGGTAGCCAAGAGTTCAAATATAAGAGAAAATAAAAACTGAACAAAACATTCATGCAAAGAAATACTTCCAGATAAAATGTCGTTTAAATACGAAGGTCATAAAAAACAAGGTTCAAAAAGCAGAACAAATGAAGATGTTTTGGTTCACACACCTGACACCCCTCCACAATTTCAACTACACCCCCCCTCCTCCCTCCCAACACCCCCAACAAAAAGTAAAGAATCATATAGAACAACAACTATAAGATCTCTGGAGAGCAGACACCATACAACTTGACACTACATTAAAAATTCAGAACAACAAATACGCAGATATTCTGGAAGACCTTTACATTGAAATACAAATCTTATGAGGATATGCAGCTTTACCTTTGCAACAAGAATGTACAGGTTGATTAAAAGGACTAGCACCAAATATGAATTCAATTCACAACGTACAGTTGTCCATAATTTGGGTAGAACAATCAATAGGTCAAATACACAAAATCTAAGTCATACTGTCATAATGACCAATAAAAATAGGGTTTTGTTTTGGTAACTCATAGCAAGAATAGCCTTTGAGCTGTGCTGCAAACTGTTTTACAAGCTCAAATCTTTGTACATCTTTGCACAAAGGTCAACAGGATGGATAGAGAAGAGAGGTCTCATTGAACAAATGAAAAGCAACAATGCAACAACCAATAAATGCATTATAAAGAAAAAATAGTGAGGTAGACTTACTAGTTCTTCAACATGTTTAATAGCATGGCAGATCAAATGAAGACCTTTGTGAGCAACCAAATGTGTGATGCAGACAACCAATGGTACCTTTCCTTTCACATGAGTACCAGATCCAACAGATTTAATGGGCAACCCAAGTCCTCTTTGGACCTACTCTTTGCATATGGTCTTCCCAGCAAGACCTTGTGCTGCCAAATAAATCAAACAAATGCATCAGAGAAGAGTATAAGGAGAAAGGTTACAGTTCTCCAATTCATTTTACCCAGCAAAGTCTTAAAAGCTATGCCTTCTTCTCAATGAATTTTAAGCAATTAGTACATGATTTCATATATGTAATGAGCTGCCCTGCCCCCTTGATAGTGAACTAGTGCCAACATGTAAAAAACATAAGATAACTGCAAGTAGGAATTCTATATCAAAGTAGCAACAAAGAAGTGACAAGTGTCAGCATCTATATTACAGTCAGGTGTCTTTACTTTTTTTTCTCTTTCTACAGGATGGAATTTTTTTCACTAATTCAACAAAGAAATATGATTATGAATGGACCAAAGTCTAAAAAAGAGTCCAATGATCGTATTCTTTTTCTCTTATACAACCCAATCAAGAAAACGATGGACAAACAAGTTTTTAATAAGTACTCTAAGAAGGCTTAACCTCAATGAGCTGCTGCAAATGGAGACAATTAGAGGCGAAAAAACAACAGGTAGTAGACATAGATGACAATTGGAGACAACAATTAACCAACACCCTTTTTAAAACAGAGTAATACTTGCAAGAGCAAGAGCAAACCACAGAAGTATACCAATAATATTAATACAACTTGATAAAAATTTCTCAACAAACGAAAAAACAGGGAGTATACCAACAATATTAATACATTGATATAAAATTCTCAACAAAAGAACATGCAGGAAGAAATTCATTAAAAGAGCACATTAATAAGGCAACATAGTAGCAATTACAAGAAATCCACCAATAGATCTCATCAAGTATGGACCAAATTAAGTCATTGATTATCAAATAAAGCCAAATTCTTGCTGTAACAAAGCACCTCATAGTACCAAAATAGAATGAGCAATTACCATGAGCAAAAGTACTCCATAATGAACAATTAAAGGTGAGAAAAGAACTTACCTGGAGTAAGCAACGAACCACAATAGTCGCATCGAACCACCATAGTCGCAGCCACCACACCCACCACCGCACCCATGAAACCACCACCGCAACCACGAAACCACCACCGTACCGCACCCACGAAACCACCACCGCACCCACAAAACCACCACCGCAACCACGAAACCACCACCACTAGCACCGATCACAAAAAAATAAATAAAAATCAGAAATCCTATCATCTCACATTCTCACCATTAAATTCAAACAAAATTTCAATTGTTCATCATTAATAAAAAAAAAATCATAAAACCTAGATTTCAAATCTAAGAAACCCTAACCTCGAATTTGTGATTTTAGAATCGATAATTGATTCAAGTTTGTTGTTGTTGTTGTATTTGGTTCAAATTGACGGCGGCGACGATGGTGGTTGTGTTTGGTTCTAATGACGCCGATTTCGGACTGAGAAGGAGAAGGAGAGCGGTGTTGCTTATGGCGCAGTTATGGAGAAGGAGAAAGAAAAGGAAAGGGAAAGCGGCGGTTATGGAGAAGGAGATCGAAGGAGAGAGAAGGAGTTTGAGGCTCCATTGTTGTAGATGAGAGATCAAGGAAAGAAAAAGAAAGAAGATAAAGGCCGAATTATTTTTTTTTACAATAGCATTCGCACTGGTTCAAACCGAACCAGTGCGATTCACTCATTTTCGCACCGGTTTGGTTTGAATCGGTACTCTTTCCCTCAATTCCTCCTATTTTTTTCGCACAGGTTTTTTAAAACTGGTGCACATTTTGCGATGCTCATTTAAGTTTTTCTACTAGTGTCAAGTGATCGGAATGTCTAGCTAGAGGCAGCTTCCAATCAGTAATATTAATGCATAATTAATATTACAGCTTAATCATGATTGTTACCCTTCGGGTCACACCCAATCGAGTAACCGAACCGAAACGAAAAATTAATCCGAAGGATTAAATGAATCATTAAAGTATTACGAACATAGACGTCGAAGCTTAGATCGTCGGAACCAAGTGTCGTAAGTCGAGTCGAATTTAGGAATCGACGAGACGAGAAATCAAGCAAACAACAAGTTACAAATATACCCCTAGCCTCATAATGCCCCGAGCAATCCGAGGGCCAAGGGCAATATAGCTAGCCAAGGCCACTGCCGCAAGGCAAGGCTCGGTCGGAAGCTCAACATGCCTAACATGGCCGAGCGTGTTGGCCAAGCATGCCTTGTGCGCATCGCAAGGCCAGCATGGCTGGCCGCATATGCTAGGCGAGCTAGCAGCACCAGCCGCACCATCGCAAGGCCAGCAGCACGCAAGCGCTCGCTGGGCCTCGCACATGGTCGCAACGAGTGTGCAAGCTCGTTAGCAATAGCAGCGCACAACCACGCATCGAAGCTCGCATCAGCGAGGCTTACTATTGCGGGTTGGTGCGAAGGCCTTGCACGCGAGGTAGCAGCGTGCTGGGCTATGCCTAGCACAAGCATTGCAGCAGTAGCAGCAGCACGCAATGCGTGCGTGGGCTGCGAGCTGTGCGTGCATGTGTGTTGGGCTGCGTGCACGCACAACACCCAGCTAGTAGGCCCAACCAAGGGGCCAGGTTGCCAGCGAGGCAGCCTTGGCGTTCAGGCAGCACCAGCTGGCGCGCGCGCATTAGTCGTGTGTGGGGAAGCCGGTTTTTGTGGGTTGCTTGGGGAGCAAGGGGAGGGTGGTTCTCCCTTGTTGTCCTCACCTAACCCCTTGCTCTCCACTTGACACTTTTTGTTTGTTGATAAATCAAATATAAGGTGCTGACATTAATTTGGTTGTGCCAATTTAATACTCTATTATGTATTATTAGCTTTATGATTCAGATTACAATCCTTTTCAATTAACTAGCTTCATTAAGGGAAACATTTTAAAGAATTAATGTGCTAAACTAGATTGCTAGATATATTAAATAAGAATATAAGAGTTAAGATATGTGTGTGGTGTGGGAAACTTGATTCAAGGAATCAATGTGTAAGTAATGTTAAGGATAGATTTGTCAATTTAAGTGTTTGGGTTGAGTTAGCTCGATTCGGGTCAATTTGAGGTAATTGCATTACTATTCGGGTTGGGTTACATCAGGTTTTGTTCGGGTTAAAATAGATTGGGTTGAATTCGAGTCGGATTAGTAACAGGACGGGTTGAATCCCAGTTGGGTTGAATTCAGGCCGGGATAGTAATTGGTCGGGTTGATTTCGGGTTTCAATGGGTCAAAACGGGTTTGGGTCAATCTCGGGTTCGAGTCGGGATCGGTTTAGGTCAATAATTGACGGGCTATGTTCGGGTCAGGTCATGTTCGGGTTCGGTTCACGAATCCTAAGGTTAACTCGAGTCTCGGGTTGGTTTCAAGTCGGGTCATATCAGGTTTGGGTCACCAACTTTTCGGGTTCACACAGGTCAGGTCATGATCGGGTTCGGGTAAAATTTCCTGGTCGGGTCAGCTTTTGACAGCTTTACTGATATCTTCTACTCCGTAAAATAAAGTAGTGATAAAATTATTGCCTTACTTATCTTTAGCAATGGTTGTCAAAGGGAAAACATAAAGGTTTGAAAAGTGCAACCATAAATGCTTTATGCAACGCTTAGAACACCGTTGTTGATTCAATGTTGCCTATGCCCTTTTTCCTTGTAGTATGAAAGTGTGCTTCATGCCACACAACAGAAATCGATTTCAAAGACTGGTTGTGATAAATGTACGGCCCTGGAACGCAGACTTGATGATCTCAACGACAAAAATGAGGCCTATTGGTACATACGGTACGGGATAGAGATAGGAACACAAAATACATCCATCACAAACCTTTGTAGAGAAAGAAGAGGAACAAGATTGTTGGTCTCTTTCACAAGGATGGCAACTGGCTATACGAAAATAGGGAGATTGAACGGATTATTTTTTATTACTATGATGATCTCTTCTCGTCTAGTAATCCTTCGTCTTTAGAGGGCCGTTTGGTTGGGGGTATTCATCAAAGGGAATGGGAATCAACTGTCCTGACTCCCTTTCTTGTTGTTTGTTTGGCATTTTTTCCCATTCCCTTTATCCTCTCCATTACCCCAAATCCTTCCAACTTTATTCCCCATCCCCCTAGGTTTTTCCATTCCCTTTCCTTAGCCACCACAACACCACCATATCCAAACCAGCCACCACCATCCTACCCTATCCCACCACCCAGCCACCATCGCCGCACCTCCACAGTCCCTCGCCGAAGCTCCCCCACCCATTGCCAGAGCTCCCCCGTCCCACGCCGGAGATCTCCTCCCCCAAAAAACTCTAGCAGCTAGGGTTTCGAGGGTGAGTTTTTAGGGTTTTTGCGAGAGTGGGGGAGTTTTTTGGGGGAGGGGATCTCCGGCGTGGGGCGGGGGAGCTCTGGCGATGGGCGGGGAATAGCGAAAGAGGGGCGGCGAGTGGTGGGGGAGGGGCGGTTAGTGGTATGATGGCTGGAGAAGGTAGATAATAGGTCTTGTGTTGTGTGGTGGTGGAAGTGGTAGCTTGTTTCCCTTTGTTATTCAAAACAAACAACATAACAAATTTGGGGGTTTTTAATTGAATTCCTTTTCTTCCCCTTTGTTCATTCCATTCCGATTACCCCGTGCGAACCAAACGGCCCCTTAGGATTAAAGAGGGCCATAACAACTAGGGGTGAGCAAACCGAGTACCCGGTCAAAATTTTAGGATCCAGACCCAAAATTAGTTGGGACCGGGTTCTAAAATTTGGAACCGGAATTGGAACCGGTACAATCGGGTCCTAAAATTTAGGAATTGGAATTGGTTCCACCGGGTACTAGTTCCGATTCCGGGTACCCACTTATGTACATAATTGTTAAAATATAATACAAATCTTAATATTTTTTTGGTTTACTTTTCACTTTTAGCGTTTAATACTTATATTTTTATATACATTAAGATATTTTATTTATGTTGAATATTAATATATATTTTTTTTTCTAACTAGATACATTAAACATATTTTTGTTTTTTTTAAACATATGTAATTCAATATATGTTGGGTAACCGGGTACCCAACCGGTTCCGGTTCCAAAAAATTGAGAATTGGAATTGGAACAGGTTGCAACCGGGTCCTTAAATTATTACCTGAAATTAAAATTACCAGATCTAATTCCAATTCCGAACCTGCCAGTTCCTAATCGATTTCGATTCCGATTCCAATTCCAGGTAACCAGAATTTTTGCACACCCCTAATAACAACAATTCTAGTTAAACATCAATAATTAATAAGGCATCATTTCCTTTAATTTATTTTATAAATATCCAACATTTCGAAAGACGTACTATTAAACAAAATCAAGCAATAACAAGTGTACGTGACAACACACATACGTACACGCAGAAAAATAAATAAGCTAATTGGACATGATTACCATTCCTTATTAGAATGAAACATTACTTTGATAGCATAAATTATCTAATTATGTTTTTTGATGTCATTAGAGATATTTTCAGCATCCATAGCAGCTCCGTAGAGTCCCCTTCTTGCTAGACCAGCACAATACAATCCATTTTTACCCTTCCAATTGTTAGGAAAACTTTGCTTTGACAATCCATCTTCATTCAACAGATAGTTATCTCCCTATTAAATAACCAAGGAACTCATGATTAAATAAAATATATCAAGTGAAGTGAACACGACTTAAGGTATACAATTTCACAATTATTTTAAAGCAATGAATGCATCAAATATTCATTATACTTCCTTAGTTTTTTTGGATGCATTATTTTTTATAAAAGAAGTTTCAATTCAGTTGCATCACTTTCCTTTTTAATTAATAAATTTTCTATCTCTTAATAAATTTTCTATCTCTTTCCTATATATATGCCCGGTTTATTTTTTCTCTCTACTCCAAAAATTATCTAGGAGTCTACAATTATAAAAATAATACATCTAAATAAAAACGGGGGAAATAAAAGAGATCGATTTTTCTATCATATTATTCATATGTACGTCATTCAAAAACTTTATCCGAAGTTGAATATGTAGACCATACATACATATCTAATTAATTTTACCTTGAGCCATTGGTTTGTGGCCCTTTTAAAACCAGTGGCAAAAATAATAGAGTCAAAAGCATACGATCTGCCATCCTTGAACAACACATCATTGCCTCTTATGCTTGTGATTGCCGGCAAAATCTGTAACATTTACCGTTCCATAATAATAAACTCAACGTTACAAATTGCAATTACAAAAATATGACAAAATATGAATAATTATGTAGCACACCTAGGGACATTGATTAATGTTCACATGCAATGTACCCTGCTTTGCTTTTTCTTGTGTCTAACGCATTCACACATCATATTCATACTAACTTAACAAATCAATGCTTCGCAACAGCTAATTAGGTATAATTAAGCTTGATTGATTATTTCTATATGTATAGCCCTACTTAGTTACTATTATTGATGGCTAGTATTATAGCTATTAATTGAGTTGATGTATGTTGTTGAGATTAACAGTATGTATAAAACCGTCTTACGATCATAAAAATACCTTGTAGGTTGATTATATTGGGATAGTGTCACAGGCTTTCAGTGACAAACAAAAGTGGTTCTATAATAATAAGACAGTCTTAATATAAAAGTTTTTCGGTTGAATTTTGGTTTGACGCAGACCATGTAGTTTGTGAGCTATGTTGAATCATTTAGACTTTTCATTTTAATACCTTAACATTTGTATCATGTTCTCAGCACTCAAATATATATAGGTGATGAGACATTTCAACAAAAATCCCAATGTGAGAAAGAAAACTACTGTATCTAACTATAAATTAAGAAACAAATTATGAACGATGTTAAGAAACTAAATAAGAGCGTGATTTAACTTCTTTTTCCTATCAACAAACAAAGCAAATTATTGATATGTTAGATTTTAGGGAACACATAAAGATTGCCAAATAGTTGATTGGTTGGGAAATAATAATACCTGAATTTCACCAGATTTGATCTTTTGAAAAGACCCTTGATCAATAATTGGGTATTTACCAAAGGCAACTTTTAAATAGAAGGGACCTTCTTGGGGCCTAGTCAACCCGTATTTGGTCACGTCACCATACACAATTTTACTGATGAGCACCAAGAAATTGTCCACCCATTTTAATGGCAAATGCTTCAGAAGAACTAGTCCCATGTTCACCATTCCCTTGGACAATATGTGAACCTACACCAAAAATTCAATTTGCAAGAGCTTTAGCAATACTCACACTACTAACCATCGATGATATAGCACGTTCGTTGCACATTTTTTTGTTTTTACAGGTAGAAACAGATATATTGGGAACTAATATATAATACAGTGTTTGAAGAATATTACCATGCTATGCAAATGATTACTAAAAGAGCTTTACATTTTATACGAAGTGATATTATATTTCTGGCTTAGAAGAGTGGAAATTTTTTTTTCATTTTTTTTTTTCAAAAAAAAAGTTTTCGGATATGTTATGACCTTACTTGTTTCATAAGGTAGCATATCGATCATCATAAGCATAATCACTCATTTGTTGTTGAGTAATTTATTACAAGGTCAATTATGCTAATAATCACAAGTGTACTACCTACACACCAACAGTTAACAGTTAGATCTACTCCTAAGGAATAAAATTTGGGACCATTTTCTCAGATGGAACTCTTAAATACGATCAATTAGCCGTGATTGTGAACAACCTACACTTCATTTAATCAAGTACGATACATATCAATTCTCAAAGTATAATATAAACTTCATTTTCTTAATATAGTATGAAGCTTACTAAAGTCAAAGAAAAATTAAAAGCAAATAATCAATTCCAAAAGAAAATCTCTCTTCTCTCTTCTCTCTCTTCAAACCTAACCACCATATTAAAACTTAGGGGCTGCCATCGATTTTATCGATAATAAGCCCTAAATTCTTCTTCAATTTAATGGTTTTAGCCAATAAAGATCACCAACAGTATGGTGATTATAGTCAGTCCCTCTATGTAGGGTTTAGTAGGTTCCTTAATGATAAGATTTTTAGTGTTGTTTGTTTGTTTGTATTTCGTGTGTGTAGGGATACAAATTTGGAAGATTTGTCTTGCGAATTTGTGGAATTGCGGGTATGTTGGTTTAAGGGTGCAGATTTAGAAGATTCGTCTTACAAATTTGTCAATCTTGATGACCAATCAAGTTTTAGCACTTTCGTGACTATACATCAATGGAGCTCCTTCAAGAACAATGCAAAGACATCTAAAATTATTTAGGAGCAGTTCAGAAGCGGTGCCATTAGTTTAGAGGTTTTAAATACTTGTATTGAGAATTTAGAACTCTTAAGGGATGATTGTAAGTTCTGAATAACTATTATTATTTAATGAAACAAAAAACATTTGTATACGTCGGATTTACAATTGTGTTATTATGAGGTGAAAAAGTTACCCTTATTCTCATTAAAGTTATCCTTATCCTCACAAAAGTTACCCTTTCTATTATTAAAGTTACACTTTACTCACATAAAATTACCATTTACTTTGCCATTAGTTAATCATTGATTAATTGAAAGTTACCCAATAAGCAACAAAAAAAATGAAGTACAGTAGTAATCAACAATTTACTCAAGATATATAGAGTAATGAATTTGTCGTTGATTTGGTATCAATCTCCGTCTTTCCCAAATCTCACCAATTCAGCACAATTAAGTGAACAAAAATTCCTAATTATTGTTGTATCTTTTCTCACGATCGATATAGTATGAAAGGGTAAAAAGATTGAATTGATTTTGAATTATATAAAATTGATGTATATTGTGAAATTAGGGAGGAGAGAGAAAGTAGGAGATATGAAATTTTCATTATCACTTTAGCATTGAAATAAAAGGAAAAGAAGATTGAAGAGTTGGATTAATATTCCAGATTTAGAGCAAAGGTAGTGTTGAAGTGGAGAAAGATGTTGATATTGTCAAGTCTCAGTTTTCTATTAGATGCCACATGGACCTTGAAAGAGGAAGGAGAAAGAAGTCTTCAGCATCCCGCCATTCAATAATTACTGTAAATCGGATTTTTTGTAAAGTTTAAATCACCCCTCCCTATTCCAATTAAAAAAAAAAAAAAAAAACCTATCCCTAGATCCTATGGGCTTTTATTTAATTTATTGGGGTTAACAAAAAAAACATTACAATTGTACTATTTTAACGAAAAGGTATTGATATATGTAGTAGCTCGATTTAATATATTTTCAAATTTGGAATTAATTCAGAAATGCATGACAAAATCACTTATAAATCATTATAATACATGTTATACTAGCTTTTATATGCATGCGAAGCGTACGTCAAACAATAAATAAAATATCTATATCATTAGTTTTAGATAACAACCTAACTAGCCAAATTTAATGAGTTAAGAATAAAGATTGTCCGATTAAATTAAATAACAAAAAAGACACAAAAAAAAAAAAAAAAAAAAAACCTACAAATATAACCTTAGAAAAGTCAACAAAGATAGAATTTTGCGTGAAAAATCTAGCATACAATAATATACATGTAAAATTATAAACAATTTTGTATGTGAATAAAAAATGATGACTTAGGTGACGGTTGCAAGGTTAATAGAAAAATGATGATGGTTGTCATGGTTGATGGTTGGAATGGTTGATATAGAAACTAAATAATCAAGAAAGTGTTTTTCCAATGAAGATGAAAAATATCTATAATTAAAAAATACAGATTGGAGAACATAAAAAAGAAGGTTTGTTAGTGTAAATACCCATCAAATGACGAGTGAGTAACACATAAGGATTTAATTAGGTAAATTATTGTTGATTTGTGAAAGAGTAGATTGATTAAAGGAGGGAATAATTTTATAATAATTAGGGAATTTTTAATTTGATTGTAATGAGAGATTGATTTTTTAAAATTACTAATTGAATAAATGAATGAAATTATTTAATTTAGGAAGTACTTTGATGTAATTGAAGATGACAGATTAAATCATGACATTGATTGAATCAATAATATATGTTTTTTTTTTTTTTTTTTTTTTTTTTTTTTTTTTTTTTTGAATTTACTATATGTGTATTTGGTTGAAGATTGATGATGAATCAATTTAATCCTTAAATGCATTGAATAATTACCTTTATTAATTTTATTCTTATTTAAGTATTGAAAATTCTATGATAGTCATCCTTAAAATGGCTATCATTATACTAATTTTTTTTATTGGTTTATTTTTTATTTACTTTTTATGTTAAAATTAATTATAAATATTTGTTTATATATTTAAAATTATTGTTTTATATATATATATATATTTATAATTAATTTATGAATTATTTTTTAATTTTAGTAGTAATAAAATCTGGATTTTGAAAATTAATTAGGAAAATTTAAAAAAAATTCAAAAGTTATTTCAAAATTAAGAAATGAATTATAAACATTAGATAAATGATTTATAATGAATTTTAACAATAAATAAATAAATAAAAATTAGCCAATACAAAATTAGTATAATAATAGTCATTTTAAGGATGACTACCATAGAATCATCTGTTTTAGTATTATAGTATAAGCCAAGAGAAATACTAAGGTCATTTTAGTGAGACACCACAATCTTCTCTGTTGACTTATATAATAGATTTTTTTTTTTTCTTCTGTGTACATTTAGCTTTTTATATATAATCCTAAGCCCCTAAGACTATGTATATGCTTTCCTTTTATGAAAAACTTAAAAAATATAAAAATAAATAAATAAATTGTGTGAGCTTAAAAAGTGGATCACTCCCACTAGTACATTTACACGAGCACTAACAATCAATAAGATTTAATGCTTGTCCTGTATTAAATCATCAATCTTTATAATTGCTTGACTTTCATGTTGTATTTATATATTATATGATTAATCAATCAGGCCAATAGCTAGATTAAACTACTCCGTAGCACATTCTAACAGATTTTGTCACTTAATCATTCAATTTTAACGTGAAGATTTACATGATCAAACTTAATTTCAACTGTAATACTCAATTTATCTCTTTTTCATATTCTAAATTGTCTTCAGATGAAGGAAAGGTACATCATAATTTATCGGATTTCTACAATTGATGATGTAAATGGAAGTTACTAAAAAGTCATATATGATAAATTTGGTTTACTTTGTCACGCTTAATTTTTTTTTAATTTAATTATACTCATATATTTCATGAAGTTTTGATTTTCAAGAAACAAGAAAGATCATTGGAAAGAATTATCAAATATAGTCAAAGTTTTAAATAAATAAATGGGTAGAAACATATGGAATGAAGGTAATCGTAGTAATTATAATCGTAGTAATTATATATTTATATCCGGTCTAATTTTGATAACGGAAAACTATGAATATTGAGAAAATTAATAGGTTTTAGTTAATTTTTTATTCTTTTTGTTTCCCATAATTTCACATTTGATAAATTGATATTCACCCATGTTAAATTATGAAAATTTTAAAACTTGTACATGAATGTTACAATCAGCAACCTACTGTCAATTATCTCTACAGGAGTAATAACTACCAAACATTGTCGTACCTTCATATTTTCACTTTCTATCGGTCAACTTGTGTGATGAATTAAATAATAATTGAATTGGTCAATTTGTTTATTAGGCGCATTGTATACATACAATAAACTCGATTTAATTAACATCCTAAATTCACCTAATTTACATATGTACACAGTACACCTCTAATCAAGTAGAGTCAATTTATGCCTCGGAAAAAAAAAAATAAAAAAAAAAAAGTAGAGTCAATTTAATAAAACAAATTAAAAATATCTCAAAACAAAAAACAAAAAGTAGAATGAATGAATCTTCAAAAGTTACGAAACACCATTGAATCTCATGATTTGTCACACCATTATAATACTCCTTCCATATCATATTTCATAAGAAAGAAAGATTAAATAAATAAATTTAACTTCCTCCTTCCTTTTCTTATTGTTCTAATGTTCTTCTTAGTTAAGATTTTTGTGAGATAAAAAAGGTCAAAGTATCCGCATTAAAAAACCGAAGGAGTAATAAATAATAGCAATATCGATAAGATAAGATTAGAAAACTTACAGGGCTTCTAACAACAATGGAAGTTTTAGCACCATAATTAGCAAGATCAAGACCAATTTCAATGCCGGAATTACCAGCTCCAATAACCAACACACTTTTGCCTTCATACTCTTTACCAGACCTATATTGTGTAGAATGCACTACTTTCCCTTCAAAGCTACTCAACCCTTCAATCTCAGGACAATATGGATCACATGTTTCACCACTTGCCACCACCAAATACCTCCCAACATACTCCTCCTCCTCGTCGTTGTCGTTGTCGTTGGACTCCGCCTTGTCGGTCACTTTCTTTGTCACGACACGCCATTTCTTTGTACCTTCATCTAATTTGGCACTCACCACGCGCCTCCTGTACAAAGGCTTGATCCCAAAATGATCAACGTAGTTGTCCAAGTATTGTAAGAAATCTGTTTTTGGGACGTATTTTGGGTAATTGGAGGGCATTTTCATGTGAGGAAGTTCACAATATTCCTTTGGTAAATGTAGGTGAAGGCGATCATACGCCTTTTTCTTCCATAGAGAAGCACAACAATCTTCCCTTTCGAGTAAGATGTATGGTATCGAGTGATGGGTTAGACAGGCCGCAGTGGCTAGCCCGGATGGCCCGGCCCCTACAACAATAACAGTCGATTCAGCCATCGTATCTGACTGTGGTTCGTGCTTAATGTAAAACGCTTAATTTTTGAGGGGTTAGGATGAGTTTGAAATAATTTGGAGTTTGGAATATTATTTATGTTCACTTGTTGAATGTGGACTTTTATGTGTAAAGTGTGTCCACATTATATAGAAGTAAGAAAATAGAAAAATAGTACGAGTAGTAGGTTTAATTGTATATATATTATTACGAGTATATAATTAAATAAAAAAAAAGGAATTATTGACTTGACTTGACGTATACTCGAATATCATGCAATCTTGATTCACTATTTGTAGACAAAATAATAAGGCTGCAGCCCAGTGAGATGAATGAAGAATCAGCGTCCCTCCCTCCCATTTATTTGCCCCAATTAAGTCATATTTGGTTTACTTTATTAAATTTTGGTTCTCTATTTAATTTAGGTAGGGTAAAATAGATTCAGAAAATCTTTATGGGTGTAAATGAATCGAGTCGATCAATAAACTATTCGAATTCGCGTTCAGTTGTAGCTCATTCATTCATGTTTGTTTATTTAATAAATGAGCTGAACTTGAACAATTTTGAAACTCGTTTAATAAATGAGCTTGAACACAAATATAGATACATTTGTTCAAATAAGTTCATGAACAACTAGTTTACATATATTCATAAACTACTCGTTTATTTATATTCATGAGCTATTCGTATAATGTGATAAGATGTGATATCTCGAAGACGCAAAGTGTTGTTATGTGAAATCTTTTATATAAATTGATCATTTAATAATATTTATATATTATTGATGACTATTCACAACTATTAATATTTAAAAAGTCGACGCTTGTTTATCAACTCATTATTGTGTACAAGCTTGAACAGATTTTTGAACTTGATTGAAGCTCAAGATTATGCTAGGATACGCCTTAGTTATTAAATGAACTTGAACATAAGCAAGGTAGTGCTCGACTCGGTTTGACTCATTCACACCCTATATATCTATCTCTATTATATAAGCCAAGAGGGGGTGATGTGGTGTTGTTAAAAAAAAAACTATATTAGCCTCATTACTTTATGTTAATATTTAGAAAATCAATGTTTATTGACTTTTAAAATATTAGATATTTTGATATGGAAGCAATACAAATAATAACAATTTATATTTCGACACTAATTCTTCACGAGTGTTAAAAAATAAACATGTCATTAAACTTTTTGAAAAAAAACATAAAACATATTCATATGCGTTATATTAATTTTAAATTATGTTAAAAAATTGATACTATAAAAAAAAGTACATTAAAGAAAAATAATGGATTGTAACCTGTAAAAATAATTTCATTCCAATAAAATAAAAATAATATCATTCAGTAAAAATAATATCATTCAGTAAAAATTAATTTCATTTTTGTAAGAATAATTTAAGTTTAGTAAAATCAAGTTTAGTTCAGTAAAATTAATTTAACTTCAGTAATAATAATTTTACTTTAGTAAAAATAATTTTAGTTAAGAAAAAATCAATATTTTAAAAGAAGAAATATACAAGAGAATCTGTGAAAAATAATTTCAGTTTAGCAAAAATAATTTCAGTTCAGTAAAAACAATTTCAGTTAGCTAGGAAAATATAATTTAAGTTCACCATAAATAATTTTAGTTAAGTAAAAATAATTTGAGTTCAACAAAAATAGGTAAAGTGAACCAGGCCGTAAATTATTTACTAAATAAAACAAAAATTATTTTTTATTGATTCCCTATTAGGCCCTGTTCACTTCACCTTATTTTTACTAAACTGAATTATCTTTATTGAACTTTAAACTATTTCTACTAAAAAGAAATTATTTTTATTGGGATGGAATTATTTTTACTGAACAAAATTATTTTTGATGAACCGAATTATTTTACATATTTTCTATTATAATTCTTTATTAAAATTACTGATTTTTACTGGACTTAAATTAGGCCCTCTTCACTTCACCTTAAAAAAATAATATTTAGTAAAAATAATTTAAGTTCAGTAAAAATAATTTCAGCTTAGTAAAAATAAGTTCAGTTCAGTAAAATTAATTTAAGTTCAGTAAGTATAATTTAGTTCAGTAAAAATCAATACTTTTAAAGAAAAAATATAATAGAAAATCAGTAAAAATAATTTCAGTTCAGCAAAAATAAGGTGAAATGAGCTGGGCCTTACTTTTACTGAGCTGAAATTTTTTTTAATGAACTGAACTTAGTTTCATTAAACTAAACTTATTTTCACTGAACTACAATTATATATACAAGTTTGGCATTAATTAAATTGAATGAGATTATTTTTTTACAGAATTTTTTTTTAAGATGAAGTGAATAAGGTCTTATATTTCTATTTTACAATTAGTTTTTTTTTACTAATATGAAATTATTTTTACTGAATTGAACTTATTTTAACTTAATTGAAATTATGTTTAATAAAGTTAAATAATTTTTACTGAATATTATTTTTTAAGGTGAAGAGAACATATTGATGATTAATTGTATTTATTTATTTTACACATAAAAATATTGTTACAATAATATATTTATACATTTTAGTAAAAAAATTCATACTGGTTTTATATAAAAGACAAATTTGATTTTATTTGCATATACAAAGTAATCTTTATTGTAATCCCTTTTTATAATAAATAGATGAAGCCCGTGCGATGCATGGTTTGTTGTATTTTTTAAACTAATTTTTTTTATATATTATGTAATAAATTTTGTTATTTTATTTGTTGGTACGTAGTATATTATTTAATATATTTATTTTAAAATAAATTGTGAATTTCCTCTCAATCATTATATATTTAGGTAAAATTTCTATCTCAAAAGATAACATTTATATTTAATTAATTTAAACATCAAAATTTCATTCGCTAGTTTTGCTTATGTGGCATTTGAATTATTTAATTCTAAAAGAAATTACAAATCTCTGGCTATAACTAAAATTTATTATCCTACATGGCGCGTTAAATTATTTAATCTTACGCGGCGCTCTAAAATTTTGGGAAAAAAACTCCCCTCATGATTTGTAGGAATGTTTGATTTACACATAATATTTGTTGCATTCCTTTATAAATGGTTTCCAGATAATGTGAATTTATTGATTATGTAAATGTTTAATACTTCCTCCGTGTTTAGTTATTGCACCACTTACCATTAAGGAATTTTCACAAATCAGGAACTAAAATATCTCTCTGTTCACATTGCAAATTAAATACTCAATATACCCTTACTTTTAATACTTGATTCTTTATTAGTTTATACTTACATCACATGGATAATTGTAGTTTAATTTTACCCTTCTTTCTCTTCCTTTCTTCCACTATCAAAAAAAGTGTGTCCAACCTCTATGGCGCAATAATAAAAGAACGGAGAAATTAATATAGAATCGAAAGTTAGAGCTATTTTTTATGAATATGTCCCAGACAACACACATTTTTATTTAGTTGGCCACACCGTGTGGCCGAGGTTACGTATTCAGGGGTTACTCGGTCAGTCAGGGATTACTCGGTCATGGGTTACTTATTCTGGGGTTACTCGGTCGATCAGGGGTTGTTAGTCTGTCACAAAAAACGTGTTAACCGACAGAGTAACTGTTGACCGACTAAGTAGCCCTTGAATAAGTAATCCCGGCAAAAACGCGCTAAACGACTGATTAACCCCAAATCTAATAAGTAACCCTTTACCGAGTGAGTAACCTCTAAATAAGTAACCCTAGTCACACGATGTGGCCAGCCATATAGAAAAAGCACCGTCCCGACAATTTAGTTAATGAGTATTATGATAACAACCATAATTATTTCACAACAAATTGAGTTTGAACCTGACAATGGCTCATGATGTGGTATTCTACTACATACAACCAAATTACATGATTTTCAAAATATATTTATTATTTATGTACTCGCAATATTAATACATCTTTGTTGGGGTATATAAATCAATCCTGGCCTGACCTTAAACCATCAGGTAAAACTTTTAGTTGATTTAGTCCTTTAACATGGTGTTAAGAGTTAGTGTGACACAAATGTTACAGGTTTAAATATCATTCACCCCCACTTTCAAATGGAATATTTCGCTCTGGATATGAGGGCTCTCATGTGAAAGGGGCGTGAAAAAGTATATAAATCGATCTTAACTTAACCTTTTGGTTGAGTTGACCTTTAAACAATCTTCATTTTTTTATATTTGCATCACATCTTTTATATTTGGCAAGTTTTTTAAGGAAGTGATTGTTATATATTACATTCCCCAGATCAATATTATTTATAAAATTTCGACCGTCTCTTGTAATTTTTACATTACAAGATATAACCATGTGTGTTCTTATTAGATTCAACTCAATATTAGTTTTTATGAAAATGCTATAAATAGTCCTTAAGACTATATATAAGCATTAAATATACACTAGAATATCGTATAAATTTAGAAAATCATAAAAAATATAAACACTAATCACACTGATTTGCACGTGTTTTTGTTATGAATTCCAAATTTTATACAATTTTCAAGAGTTTATTTAATGCTTATACGGTAACACGCAACTAACACTTCTCTTATTTCTGTTCCATAATTTTATCATAAGACTAATAAATTTTTCGGTCATTGTTGATTGGGTTTAGATTAACTAACAAAAAGTCAAGGAACAGAAATTAAGCACAAGTTTTTTGTGATGAAGATTTATGTAATGTCACGATGGATGTTAATTCTACATTTACAATCAAATGTATCAAATATTGTTCGATTTCAAAACTACAATAGATCGAATACTCCCTCATAGAGATTGTATCAAACAGCGATGTGAAAGAGAATATTCATCAATGTCAAATCTCATTTATAATGATCGCGGGTCGTATGCCCAATTAGAATATTATTTGATCCAATTTCTTTTGTATTTGCTAGTTTTGATTTTATTGTAGCTGTCGTATGACTCTAATATCAATGAATTAATTTTAATTTTTTAAAAAAACAAAAAAAAAAAAAATTAAGCACAAAAATTTATGTACACTCACCCTTCCTTTTTATTCTTTATGTTTTGAATTTTACGATCTTCATTCATATAAATTTTCTTTTATCACGTATATATTCAACATGATATGAACATAATTTTAAAAATATTATTATTTTGAAAATGTATATTAAATCGAATCTA